TTTTATTTAAAAATTTTTGTTGATGTTTATTAAGGAAATTGGTCTATAATTTTCTTTCTGTTTTTGCTTTACCTGGTTTAGGTATCAAAATCTTATTTGTGCCATAAAAAGAACTTCGTAGGACTCTGTCTTTGCCTATTTTTTCAAATAGTTTATATGGTATTGGGATTGCTCCAAAAGTGTTTGGTAGAATTCACTTGTAAATTCACTTGGTCCTGGGGATTTTTTCTTAGACAGCTCATTGATGGTTTCTTCAATTTTTTTTCTAAGATTATATTTTCTCTGTTGATCTGGGCTTATATTTTTGTAAATATTCATCCATTTCATCTAGATTATCAGTTTTACTGGCATATAATGGGGCAAAATAACTCCTAATAATTGATTTAATTTCATCTTCACTACTGGCACATTTGCCCTTTTCATTTTTGATAGTGGTAATTTGGTTTTCTTTTTTTTTTAATAAAATTAACCAATAGTTTACATATTTTATTGGTTTTTTCATAAAACCAGCTCCTAGTTTTGTTTATTACTTCAGTGGGTTTTTTTTTTTTTTTACTTTCAATTTTATTAGTATCTGATGTTGAGGTGTTCCATTTTGGTGTTTAATTGGAAATGTTAAATTTCTTCTTTTTTCTAGCTTTTTTTTAGTTGCATGCCCAATTTAGTTGCATGCTCTTTCATTCACACATTCTTTTTAAAAAGTTTTTTAGTTTATTACTTATTTATTCTTAATATTGTTTTGTTTTTAAATTTTGAGTTCCAAATTCTCTCTCTCCTCCACCCCCCCTCACCCACCCCAGCCACTGAGAAGGCAAATCAATTATATATGTGAAATCACGCAAAACATTTCCACAGTAGTCATATTTCCAAACAAAGAAAAATACAGTAAGAAAATTATGCTTCACTTTGCACTCAGAGTTCTTCAGTTCTCTCTCTGGAGGTGAACAGCATTTTTTTCATTATAAGTCCTTTGGAATTGTCCTGGATCATTGCATTGTTCAGAGTAGCCAAGTCTTTCCCAGTTGATCATCATTACAACTTTGCCATTATTCTGCTCAATGATTTCCTGGTTCTTCTTACTTCACTTTGTGTCAGTTTATATAGGTCTTTTATTCGATGACCTCTAGAATCACTGAATCTTGGAGCTGAAGGTTATCTAATCCAACTTCTTTTCACTTTTGAGGTTGGTTTCCCTGCCACAAACCTCTTCCCACTCTAATCCATCCTCCACTTAACTTTCAAATTTGAAGTGCAGGTCTGACCATATCACCCTGTCGTTCAATAAACTCCTATGGCTCCCAATTACCTTCAGGATCAAATATAAAATACTGTTTGGCTTTCAAAGCTTTTTCTAACCTAAACTCCTACCTACCTTTCCAATCTTTTTACTCCTTACTTCATTCCAAGGAATCTGCCATCCAGTGATACTGGCCTCCTTCCTCACGATAGACCCATAGCTGCCCAACTCTGAATGTTTTCACTGGCTGTCCTTCATACCTAGAATTCTCTCCTTCCTCATCTCTGTCACCTAGGCTCCCTGGTTTTGTCAAGCCTGAGCTTGAGTCTCACCATTGGCAAGAAGCCTTTCCTGGTCCTCTTTAACCTTAGTGCCTTTCATCTGGGACTGACTTGTTTCTGCTGTAAGAATCTGTTTTTTGTGGGGCAGCTAGGTGGTGCAGTGGATAGAACACCGTCCCTGGAGTCAGGAGGACCTGAGTCCAAATCCAGCCTCACATACTTGACACTTACTAGCTGTGTGATGCTGGGCAAGGCACTTAACCCCATGGCCTACCAAAAAAAAAAAAAAAAGAATCTGGTTTTTACAGAGTTGTTTCGTGTTGTCTCCCCCTTAGATGGTGAGCCCCTTGAGAGCAGGGACTGTTTTTTGCCTTTCTTTGTATCCCCAGTTCTTAGCACAGTGCCTGGCATATGGTAGGTGCTTAATAAATGTTAACTGACTGACTGACTTTTAAAAAGAAGCTTTAGAAAAAGCAGGATCATGACCCAGCAATAGCACTTCTAGGGTTATATCCCAAAGAGATCATACAAATGAGAAGAGGACCCACATGTACAAAAATATTTATAGCAGCTCTTTTTGTGGTGGCAAAGAATTGGAAATTGAGAGGATGCCCATCAATTGGGGAATGGCTGAACAAGTTGTGGTATATGAATGTGATGGAATACTATTGTGCTATAAGAAATGATGAACAGGCTGACTTCAGAAAAACCTGGAATGACTTGTATGGTCTGATGCTGAGTGAAGTGAGCAGAACCAGGAGAATTTTGTACACAGTAACAGCCACATTGTATGATGACTAATATTGATAGACTTAACCCTTCTCAGCAATACAAGGATCTAAGACATCTCCAAAGGCTTCATGATGGAAAATGCTATCCACATCCAAACAAAGAACTATGGAGTTTGAATGCAGATTGAAGCATACTATTTGCAATTTTTTTTCTTCTGTTATGTTTTGTTTCCTCTTTCTGGTGGTTCCTTCTGTTGGTTCTAGTTTTTACTTACAACATCACTAATGTGAAAATATGTTTAATAAGAATGTCTATGTATAGCCTATATTAGATTGGGTGCCATCTTGGGAAAGGTGGTGGGGAGGAAGAAGGAGAAATATTTAAAACTCAAAAACTTATGGAAGTGATTATTGATAAATCAAAATAAATTAATTTAAAAAAAAGAAAAGAAAAAGCAGAATCTAGGCTTGCCTTCTTGGAAAGTTCTGGGGCTACTAAGCCTGACTTAACCCTTGCTGCAAACAGATGAAGTTTCTTCCCCTGAGACTTCCCTACACCAGTGAAATCAACAGATTTCCTCCCTCTCCTGTCCCTAGGCCCCTACCCATCATAAGGAGCCATAATTTGCCTCCCTTCAACTTCCACTTACTGACCCCAGTTTGATCTGCAGCTCATGAGCGAGTAAATTGTGTTGGATTTAAGTTCCCTGGAGCCAAGCACTGCGTCTTCTTCCTCTTCTTTCTGTCTGCCCAGGATGAGAGATAAGACTCTATGTACAGAGTGGGCATGCGAATGGTACTAACAGACTGACTTGGCTGCCTTTGCCATCATCCACACCGGAACCAATTGAGACTGAGTAGCTTGATCTCTTGTGGGATCAAACCCTCCTGCTCCTTCATCTAATCTTCTAGGACTCCTAACTCTCCTTGTGCCCATGTGCTGCATCTCCCCCTTTTGTCTCCCTCCCCTTAGGCTTGGGTAAGAGGCTAAAACCTCTTTTGTGTGCTTAAAGAACACCCAGAAGGTGGTACCCTCTAATCTTCATTTTGGGCAGTGAGATGGGTGGGTGGCTGGGAGTTACCTGATACAGTTCCCCAGCCCTAATCAGTCATTTTAGGCCAGGTCACTGGCTAGAGTATTTCTATACAAAAGCCCTCAGGGAGCCTGTGGGATTGGAATGTCTGTGTTCTCTGAGCCAGAATTTGCAGTTCCTCGTTCCCTCTCTCTCTCTCCTTGGGCGGGAACTCAGAAAACATTCTTCTGAGGCCAGACAGTGTCTTTTCTCAAAGTCGGCAGAGAGCAAGAGGTGTCTCCCTAGCAGCCCTGCTCATATGCTTCGCCAGGGCTCCAATCCCCATCCAGTCCTCATCCCACCCAGGGACTAGATCCAAGATCTGCTTGGACCCATGCTAAGCTGCAGAAGAAAGTCTTACACCTCCCACCGGCAGAAAACAAGAGGAGCCAGTAGGAATGGGGAGGGTGGTGTGTGGAGGCCCTGTGGGGGATGCTGGGATGAAGGTTGGCCTTTGGGAAGAAGGGAAGGGCCAACATCATTGCTACAGTGACGTGATTCAAGGCCCAGAGCACAGCAGCCTTCTTCAATCCTGTTCTTGAGCATTTCCACTGGGGCAAGACCACCTGACACTGGTCTCATGGATCCCATCTCACCCCCAACACTGGCTGCCCAGGATGCTTTCAACTATAGAAGTGCCCAAGGGTGCCACTGCAACCCCTTTGTGATGCGCCCACTAGATAATGGAAATCCAGATAATTAAAAAAAACTATTGGAGTCAAACCACTATCTTCTTCACCTTTGCTGTCTGCCCTGGAAACTGGATCTTAGAGACCATCTTTTCCAGGGATTCACATTTCCCAGATGGACTGGGTACAGGGGACATACAGGAGTAGAGAATTGATATGTTGACATTACCTCTTGCTCCATTGAAGCTCAGAGGAGTTTTTGGCAATCCTATTCACTAACCCCGGGGAAGGTCTGTGCTTGGCCCAAACAGAGAGAGCTTCCCTTAGCCCAATCCCCTCTACGCTTCCCTCCATTACCCTAAAGACCCAGTGATCTACAAAGAGCGGCTCCCAAATCTGGACAAACGGCACCAGTCCTTGCAGGCCCCCCCCACCCCGTCTGGTTGTCATGGAAACAGATTCAAATTTACTTAGGAGGGTAAAGTTAGGAGCTTCCTCCCTTCCCCTAACAGAGGCCAACATCCATGTCTCATCATCTAAATCAGAATAGCCTAAACCCCATTTCTTGTCTCTTGACCCCAGAGTACCCCTCCCCCTGCCTTTGATCAGACTAATCAGGCCATGGGGCTGGGCCAGGGCTGGGGCCTTGCTGGCTAGTGGCTTGGTAGAGAGGCTGGGGCCATAAGGGCACTTGAACCCTCCCCTTTGAGAGTACAAAGCGGGGGGGGGGGCGGCGGGAAGGTGAGGCTGTGCCAGGGGAATGTTTCCGCAGATTAGCACTGGCAGGGGTGCAGAGAGCAGGGGCAGCGGTGGAAGGAACAGGCCTGCAGGAGGGAGCAAAACTCCAGGCCAAGTGGGTGGGAGGGAGGGCTGCCCAAGGATAGGAGGCCGTTCTCCCTCCCTACCCCAAGAATCAGGCCTCACTCAGGTTCTGGGCTGTTCTTTGTTCCTACTGACCCTCCCCACTTTGGGTGTCCCCCGACCAGAGCCAGGCTTTTGTTTCTCCAGTAAGTGACCAGAGGCAGAGCCCTCATCAGCAGGGACTGAGCTGCTGGGTACTGATCATTTTATTTCATCTCATTTTAGTTTGGCCTGTTTCATATTTGGGTTCCTCCCAGAACAAGGGGGAGAGGAAGAGGGAAAGGGAGGGAGAAAGGGAAACAAGAGAGGGAGGAAAGTACACGAGAGGGCCAGAAACTAGGGATCCTAGGGTCAGAGCAATAGAAGAAAGGATATAATAGAAGTAGTTGTGTATGGAGAGTTAAGTAATAAGGCCTACAAGTGAAAGTCTTCACCAGGAAAAAAAATTGACTACGAGCTTTATGCCCCAGGCTGAAAGTCAGCAATGGGACCTGGGAGAGTCATACTCCATGATGGTAGGGGGTGAGCAAAGAGATCTTGGGGATTAGACTAAAGCTGCTTATATTCGCCCTTCCCCCGCCCCATCACTGAACCCCTGCTTATGGACAAGTCGACAGTTGAGGCAGGAAGGCAGGCAGGGTGCTGCTTCATGGATTAGTCCAGAAGTCTCCTATAAAATAATGTGCATTTCTCCCCACAGAGGCTGTCCACTTTAGAGGAGGGCTTAGTATCTCCCAGCGCAGGTAGTTGGAGGTAATCACCATCCTCTCACAGCTCATGTACAGCAGAATGAGGTTCAGGAACCTTCTCGATATCTGCATTCTGGATCAGTTCAAACAGAAACATCACCTGGGTCTCATAGGCTTGGATGGAGATCCTCTCATTCAAGCCATGAACACTGTGAAAGAGAAACGGGCAGAGGGGCCATATTACTATAGTATCTACTCTGAGACAAGCAGGACAGAGCCCCCTTGACACTACCAGTCCCCATCCCTGCAGAAGCAGGAGGGGCACCAGGAAGGAGCTCATTCTAAGAAGTGCAGCTCAGTATACATAAGGTTATGATCACTTCTCAATGATTCCACTCCTAGATTTTTCTTTTAAACTTTGAGCTATATTTAGAAGACATATTCATTTGTAATATTAAAACATTCCACCAAGGGAAACATTTTACAGTTATCTATCTACATTCATTGAAAATTATTTACAATTTGTATTATTTAACCAATTATAGAAAAACCATAAACAATATTGATCTGGTGTCCATTCCTTCACAAATATGCAAATTGCTATAGCTGGGTTATCAAATTTTCAATCATAAACAGTATAAAGTCAGCCATCGTAAGGTGAGGCACTTTAGTAGTGACCCCCAAAAGGCTGATAAGTATAAGAAACCATAGGAGAAAGAGTTTTTAACATTTAACATGACATCCTGCCCTAGATTTCAGAAGTAATTTCACAGAACTTCAAGGTGATCCTTGCTGTCCTGTCCCCTTCTCTGCATTTTGCTCTCCTGTGGGAAGACTCCCCTGCATTCCTTAGGAACTAGATATACCCACCCTCAAATCCCTCTCCTCCTTCCAGAGAGCTCAAGCCTTGAAGAAAATAATTAATGTTGCAGAAAGTCTGGGGAAGTCTGTCATGGAGAAATATTCAAATACATTTGCATGATCTGAGTATACCTTGACTGATGTGAGGAGACCTGCCAGAGGTGTGCAGGGAGTCAGTGGGGTCTGAAATCCTGGGATTAATTTTCTGAATAACTTATAGGTAATTAATTGAGAGCTGACAATCATCTCTTAGAATTCATAGTATATTTTCTCCTAAGAGCTCAAAGCATTTCCCTCTCTTTTGATCTTTCATTCCTATCCCAGTGAAGTGGGAAAGAACAGAAAACTCTTCCTTTTGGTGATACAGAGACTGAGATGCAGAGAGTTTATATAATCTAGGTCTTAGTGGATTAAAACCAAGATTGCTATTAGACCTCAAGAGTTTTGATTTTTTGGGCTCTTTTTACTCAACTTACACTCACATAAGTAAGACGCTTTATTAGGACCAGTTTTTATTCATTTTAATATTCCATACAGTGATTAACACACAGAAAGATCATGACTTCTATGTGAAATGATTCACCTTTCTGAGTATTGCTGACTTTAGGGAATCATAGATTTAGATATGGAAGGAATGACTTACCTAAGGTTACCAGGGGCTAATCTGTGATTTGAATCCAGGTCTTTTGCCTCCAAATCCAGCATGTTCCTAACTTTCCCACAGTATTCAATAAATGTTTGCTAAATGAATGCATCAGTAAATGATTTTCTTTCCAAGAGAATTTAAGTGGCAGTGTTAGAAAATGCTGGAAGGGGGAAGACCCTGGCACAGAGGGCAGTTAGTTGGGTTTATCCAGGTTTCCAGTTTTCCTTTATAAGACTTTATACTCTTTTATTCCATAAAGAGGGTGGGGCGGTCAATCCATTATCCTACTACCTCATTCTCCTCCACTCACCTCTTGAAGCTCTCTGGACTGAGAGATACAGGGTTAAACCGATAGAGGCCTGTGGAGATGTTAGCGTAGTGTCGGACATCAGTGTTGCCAACACAAACTCCTACGGGGAGAGAGACAAAAAGGACAGCAGTCAGGCAGGGACCTAGCATAGGGCTATGCCTAGAATTTAGGAACCTGTGGCAGGGCCAGATTCCTTAGCCACTCTCCTATCCCCCATTTCCATGTTTCATACAATTTCTTTCCAAATGGGGGCTGTGAATTATATATATATGTATTATATATATGTATATATATAATATATATGTATGTATGTATACAAACACATATACATATATAGAGAGAGTGACAGAGAGAGAGAGAGAACTATTTCGATATAATTAGTTTCCTTTGTAATCCTCTCTATTTTGCATTATGTATTTTAAAATATTATTATTATTATTATTATGATGATGATTTGGCTAAGCAATGGGGTTAAGTGACTTGCCCAGGGTCACACAGCTAGTAAGTGTCAAGTGTCTGAGGCCAGATTTGAACTCAGGTCTTACTGAATCCAGAGCTAGTTCTCTATCCACTGCGCCATCTAGCTGCTCCTAAAAATATCATTTTGAAAGGGTCCCTAGGTATCACCAGCCTGTCAAGAAGATCCATTACTCCAAAAAAGGTTGACTCTTTCTCTACACTGGAGCCAAAGTGAACACCTTGCTATGCTTTGTACCATCTTCCCCCCTCCACCTCTATCCCACTTTTCTACCTTGAACCTTTGCTCTTCCCTATGTCTGGCCTCTACCCTTTGCAATTTCTCAGCTACTTCTTTTCCATCCTTTAAAGCCCAACTCAGACAACCTCTGTCACATTGTCTATTCTGATCCCCTAGGAGGTAATGACCTCGTTTTCCTCACAACTCACCTTGTTCACATCTCTCTCTCTTTTTCCAGTCAATAATATTTTATTTTTTCCCCAATTGCATGTAAAAACAATTTTTAACATCCATTTTAAAAAATCTTGAGTTCCAAATTCTGTCCCTCCCTTCCCCCTCCCTGAAATGACCGATACAGGTTACACAATCACATCTCTCTTACGCACTTATGTACCATTTATAAATTATGGTTCTCTCCGACTACTAGACTATAAGCTCTGTGAGAGCAGGGACCTTGTCTTATGTAAATTGCGTATCTCTCAGGGGTAGGCACAGTGCTCTGTACGTAGTAGCTATTTAAGAAATGTTTTGGGAGGCAGAGCCAAGATGGCCAAGTAAAAGCAGTGACCAGCTTGAGCTCTCCCCCAAAACCCCTCCAAATACCTGTAAAAAATGGCTCCAAACAAATTCCAGAGCAGCAAAAGCTACAAAAAGACAGAATGGAACAAATTTCCAGCCCAAGACAACCTGGATGGTTGATTGGAAAGGTTTATTGTGCCAGGCTGGGAGAGGAGCGTAGTTCGGTGTGTGCCATGTAGGCAAAGAGCAGGCCTCAGCTAACCTGGAGCAGTCCTCAGGGGATTGAATCACAGGTAGCTGTGGCAGTTTCCAGACTTCTCAACCCACAAATACCAAAGACAACTTAGAAGGTCAATAGGAAAGGTCTGTGGACCACAGTGAGAAAGCTTAGTCCAGCCCCAGACCTGGTGCAGGCCCAGGCAGCAGCTGCTTCCAGAGCTCTGGGCCCCCACGGTAGGGGGATTGAGTGACTGATCAGAGGAGGACCGTAGGGATCTCTTGGCTGGTGCTGAGGCAGGATTCTCTTGCTTTGCCTGTGCTTGGATCTCAGTCACAGTTCTGGGGGGTGGTTCTGGGGTGAGGAGGAGCACTGACTTGGTGGAGCTTGTGGCAGCAGTGGAGAGGGAATCCTCCTCAAGGTTTCAAGGCAGAAAAGAATGCTTGTGGTTGCTCATAGACCAGAGCACAGGCCAGGAAAGGAGTAAACACCTTGCCTTTGATCATATCACCTTGGAAGAACTGAAAATTTACAGGTCCCTAGAAGTATCTCTGAAAACAGCTGCACAAACTCCTCAAAGCTTGGGACAGTACATTCTCCACACTGGAAACAGATCCTTACCTTAACAAAAAGTTTAAAACTCAAGTAATTGGCTGGGAAAATGAGCAAACAGCACAAAAAAAAGTCAGACCACAGAATCTTACTTTGGTGACCAAGAAGATCAAAACATACAACCAGAAAAAGACAACAAAGTCAAAGCTCCTACATCCAAAGCCTCCAAGAAAAATATGAATCAGTCCCAGGCCATAGAAGATCTCAAAAAGGATTTTGAGAAGCAAGTAAGAGAAGTGGAGGAAAAACTGGGAAGAGAAATGAGAGTGATGCAAGAAAATCATTTATTTATTTATTTATTAAATCAATTAACAAGTCAACAGCTTGCTAAAGGAGACCCCAAAAAATACTGAAGAAAATAACACCTTAAAAAATAGACTAACCCAAATGGCAAAAAGAAGTCCCAAAAGCCAATGAAGAGAAGAAGGCCTTAAAAAGCAGAATTGGTCAAATGGAAAAGGAAGTCCAAAAGCTCACTGAAGAAAATACTTCCTTAAAAATTAGAATGGAGCAAATGGAAGCTAATGACTTTATGAAAAATCAAGATATTGTAAAACAAAACCAAAAGGATGAAAAAATAGAAGACAATGTGAAATATCTCACTGGAAAAACAACTGACCTGGGAAATAGATCCAGGAGAGATCATTTAAAAATTATTGGACTACCTGAAAGTCATGATCAAAAAAAGAGCCCAGACATCATCTTTCAAGAAATTATCAAGGAAAACTGCCCTGATATTCTAGAACCAGAGGGTAAAATAGAAATTGAAAGAATCCACCGATCACCTTCTGAAAGAGATCCCCAAAGGAAAACTCCTAGGAACATTATAGCCAAATTTCAGAGTTCCCAGGTCAAGGAGAAAATATTGCAAGCAGCCAGAATGAAACAATACAAGTATTGCGGAAACACAATCAGGATAACACAAGATTTAGCAGCTTTTATCTTAAGGTATTGGAGGGCTTGGAATATGATATTCTGAAGGTCAAAGGAGCTAGGATTAAAACCAAGAATCACCTACCCAGCAAAACTGAATATAATCCTTCAGGGGAAAAAATGGATATTCAGTGAAATAGAGGACTTTCAAGCATTCTTGATAAAAAGACCAGAACTGAATAGAAAATTTGACTTTCAAATACAAGACTCAAGAGAAGCATGAAAAGGTAAACAGGAAAGAGAAATCATAAGGGACTTATTAAGGTTGCACGGTTTACATTCCTATGTGGAAAGATGATATTTATAACTCATGAGACCTTTGTTAGTATTAGGGTAGTTGGAGGGAAAAAATATATAGATAGATATATAGATAGATATATGGCACAGGGTGGGTTGAAGATGAAGGGATGATATTTAAAAAATAAAATTAAGGGGTGAGAGAGGATTATATTGGGACAAGGAGAAAGGGAGAGATAGAATGGGGTAAATTTTCTCACATAAAACAGACAAGAAAAAGCTTTACAGTGGAGGGGAAGTGGGGGAAGGTGAGAGAATGTGTGAATCTTATTCTCATCAGAGTTGGCTTAAGGAAGGAATAACATACTCAATTGGGTATGGAAATTTATCTTACCCTACAGGAAAATAGGGGGGAAGGGGATAAGAGAGCCAGGAGGAGGGGGGTGATAGAAGGGAGGACAGATTGGGGAAGGAGGTAATCAGAAGCAAACAGTTCTGAGGAGGGACAGGGTTAAAAGACAGAATAGAATAAATGGGGGGGGTGGGATAGGATGAAGGGAAATATAGTTAGTTTTTCACAACATGACTACTATGGAAGTGTTTTGCATGACTACACATGTATAACTTGTATCGAGTTGCTTGCCTTCTCAATGAGGGTGGGTGGGGAGGGAGGAAGGGAGAAAATTTGGAACCCAAAGTTTTAAAAACAAATGTTAAAAATTCTTTTCACATGCAACTGGGAAATAAGATATACAGGCAATGGGGTACAGAAATCTATCCTGCCCTACAAGAAAATAGATGTGGAAGAGGATAAGAGAAAGAGGAGGGTGAAAGAAGGGAGGGCAGATTACAGGAAGGGGTATTCAGAATGCACACTGTCTTGGGGTGGGGGGAGGGGAGAGATGGGGAGAAAATTTGGAACTCAAAATCTTGTGGAAGTGAATATTGAAAACTAAAAATAAATAAATCAATAAAAATATAAAAAAGATAAGAAAAAAAGAAATGTTTTGTCAAACAGACTGCAGATTTTCCTCAAGATCGTTAAAGTAAGGTGCTAGCTGGCAAAGTGGCTAGAGGGCTGGACCTGGAGTTGGGCAGACCTAGGGTCAAACACGCTTAGTCACAGCTGTTGTTGAAAAGCTAAGAAGGCTTCATTCTCTCTAAATGTTGGAGGGTGGAAGTGGGGAAGAAAGGAGGATTGACAACCACTGAATGTCTGGGACAAATCCACTTGCTATCTCAGCTAGAGTAGTTTGTGTGGACCTCCCCTCAAAAGTCTCTCTTCTGACAACTCTTTTTGAAGACCACTATTGCTAAGAGTTGCAAAATCAATTCAGACAGAGGATTGGGAATTTCCTGATCGTCTCATTCTTGGCATCCCCTTGGAGAGGAAGCCCAACTCAAATGTGACTTCCTCCTTGAAACTTCCTTCATTTCCATTGGTCACATAGCACTTCGTTGTGTATAGAATGTTGTATTTTAATGTATTTAAAATTTTTTTTTTCTGGCAATTAGATTTAAGTGACTTGCCCAGGGTCACACAGCTAGTAAGTGTGAAGTGTTTGGTCTGAGACTGGATTTGAACTCAGGTCCTCCTGGTTTCAGGGCTGGTGCTCCATCCATTGCGCCACCTAGCTGCCCCTTTTAATGAGTTTTTGTATTGGACTTAGGATTTGATTCACGTAGGGAACTCTCAGTGAGGTTGTCCTCTTTATCATCACAGATTTTCACATATTTGGCAACTCAAAGTCTCAGAGAGTTTCCTAGGGCAATGAGAGCTTAAGTGACTTGCCAGGTTTGTGAAGTGAACCGAATGTGCCAGAATTGAGACTCAACCTAGTTTTTCCTGACTGTGAAGTCTGCTCTCAATCCCCTACACTGTATGTACAAAATGCTTTAAAGTCATCCAAGTGTGTGACTTACCATATAATCCTGTAAGGTGAATAGTATAGATATTCTTATCCCCATTTTACAGATGAGGAAACTGAGACCCAGAAAGTTCAAGTGATTTGCCCACAGTCACACAAGTTGTATCAGATGTGAGATTTCCAATACCCTATACCATACTTGTTTCTATTAGAATTATTTGTGTTTGCGTCCCCTCTGTTAGCCATCAAGCTCTGTGGGGGCAGGGAACAGAGCTGATCTAAAAAGTTTGTACCTTCCCTAGCACCAAGCATAGCTCTGCACACAATAGGCGCTTACCAAAGAAGTCCTGCCTTCATGTTAAATTTTGATGGCACTTTGTGACCCAAGTGTCTTTGCTTTGAATCAAAGGAGGAGGAAGAAGGAAGCATAGGTGGGGATGGTCTAGGGTTTGGATTTTGGTCAGGGTAAATGAGATAGAATTTCAAACCTAGCTGCAATGTTAACCTAGCTGTTAACCCTGGCGGGGACTGAGGCTCAGGCTGAGCAAGGACTGCTCCCCCAGGCGAGCAAAACTAGTTCTTCCTCTTCTCTCACCTCCAGAATAGCTGGTAGGATTTATTGTTTCTGTCTCTTTCCTGTTTGCTTTCTTCCTTCCACTCTGATAGGAGAAAACAGTTATAGATGAAAGATCCAGCTGAGCCAGGGGAGGAAGGGAGGAAGGCAGGCAGCTGTTTCCAGGCATGAACAGCTGGAGTGAGGGTGAGGGGAAAGGGAAGTCAGATAGGAAACCATTCCTGGCCACTTTTCCAAGTGGTCACCCCTTGTGAAGTCATTACCTGGGACAACGACAGAGACCTCTGGGAAGACATCTCTGATGGTCCTTCTGAGAAGCTGGTAGCCAAAGGCTTCCTGGTCATAGGGGCTCAAGGGGAGAGGGTTAAAGGCATTGAGCACGTGATACTGGACTCGGTCATCAGCCACAATATTCTGGATAATGTCTAGCACCTTTTGAAGGAAACGTAATAGAATTAGGACTTCCACCAAGCACCCTGGAATCCGAACAGTACTGGTTTTTTAGCTTCTGAAAGACTGATTCAACCATTCAATCAGCAATCATTTGTTAAAAAAAATTGTGAAATGTCAACTCCGCCAGGCACTTTGCTAGACCCTGGTGATACAAAGACAAAAACTGAAATGGACTTTGCTCTAAAAGAACTTACATTCTAACAGAATTGGAGCCCTGGGAGGTAGATACCAAAGATCAACAGGGATTCGGGATTCAACAGATGACTCAGTCGGTGCCTACTATGCAGAAGGCACTGTACTAAGAGCTGGGGATACAGAGAGGCAAAAGACAGTCTTTGCCCTTCATGCACTCAGTCTAATGGAGGAGACAACATGCAAATAATTATGTGCAAATAAGATATATATATATATATACACACATATAGTGGTATACACCATTATATGTATATATATATATATATATACCATTATACACATATATATATATATATACATATAGAATCAATTGGGGGTAGTCTCAGAAGGAAGGCACCAGCCTTAAGGAGGACTACAGTAGAAAGGCTTCTTGTACATTTCAACTGGGACTTGAAGGACACTAGGAAAGCCAAGAGGCAGCAAATACCCAGAATAGCACCAGCTGATTACTTCCAGGGGGTGGAAAAATTATTAGGTACTTATGGGTCACAACCTCAGCAAGAAAGGCTGGAACTTGGTAGGTTTAAGTGAGATGCAAGAAATAACTCCCTCAGGGGCAGCTAGGTGGCACAGTGGATAGAGCTCCAGCCTTGGAATCAGGAGGACCTGAGTTCAAATCCAGCCTCAGACACTTGACACTTACTAGCTGTGTGACCCTGGGCAAGTCACTTAACCCTGATTGCCTCACCAAAAAAAACAAAAACAAAAACTCCCTCATATAGCTACCACTAAGAAGTAAGACCCAGGCAGCTGAACGGATCAATTTCCAGAGTTCTAATTTCATGACCATGGGAAGGGAATGGGAACCCAGGAGTTTTAGAATTATAGAGTTGGACCACACCTCACAGGTCTTCAGTCCAACCCATTAGCAGACATGAACCATCTTTATAAGATCTCTCTCTCTCTCTCTTTTTTTTTGAGTCAATCAGGGTTAAGTGACTTGCCCAGGGTCACATAGCTGGTAAGTGTTTGATGCTGGATTTGAACTCAGGTCTTCCTGACTCCAGGGCCATTGCTCTATCCACTGTGCCACCTACCTGTCCCACTTTTATAAGATCTTTGACCACTAATTATTGAGCTTCTGCTTGTAGATGTCCTGTAATGGGGAACTGCTATGCTTACATATAGCACCTGGACATCCCAGTTGACTTAATAACAATAACAACAACTAACATTTATATAGCATGTACTATATGCCAAGCAATGTGCTAAGTGCTTTACAATTATTATTCCATTTGATCTTCATAACAACCCTGAGGGGTGGGTGTTATTATTGTACCCATTTTATAGACAAGGAAACTGAGGCAAATGGGTTGAATGGCCACAAGCTAGTAAGTATCTGAGGCTGGATTTAAACTCAGGTCTATTCTAATTTCAGGCCCTGGGCTCTATCCATTGTGCCACCTTTGTTGCCTAATTGATCAAATGAGAAAATTTTTGTAAAGTGCTTACTTAGCACAGTGCCTGTCACACAGTAGATGTTTAATAAATGCTTGTCCCTTCCTTTTTCCCATCCTTGATCCACAAATCTAGTCCCTTCTGCCTAGTAACTTGAAAAATATTGCAGCCCTGTTACTGACACTCTCCCCCATCCCAGTATGGTAATTCTCCTTCTTCCTTAGCAGCTACTCTTTTTTTTCAGCCAAAGACAAGGTTTATTAGAACATCCATCATATTGGGCAGACTCTTAAGGAGTCTGAACATGAGTGAGCTATTGGCTGGACTTTAAGAATCTGAGCACTGGCTAGATTACAAAAATCTAAGCACCTTAATGGCGACAAGATGGACCTTATATACAGAAAGACTGTGGGAGGGATCTAGGAGTGGCCAAGTAACTTGGGGTGACTGGAGCAGGGGTCTAAGGAGGATCTGGATGGGAGTGGCCAGTAGGTGAACAGAACGCCTGGGACCTGGACCACGTAGCCAAGGGAGAATGGAGCCTAGCTAGGATTAAGGGTGGGAAATGGCCGGGGGACATAGGGAGGTAAAACAATGGAGGGCTAGGTTAGGTTAAGGTTAACAGAGAATTGGGAGATTGGGTGTAACCACCATGAAAGGCCAGTTGATGGGATTATAACCTCAGGGGGAACTTCAGAGATTTGGCCATGTGGCAGAAAGTCCAGGGTTTTTCCTTTCTGGGGTCTACATCCCATCCTCATCATTCCCTCCTCAAACAAATGGGACCCAAATTCTTTTGGGGTAAGGGGCAAAGAAGGTCTCAGCTTCTGAAACTGCTTCATGCTGGCAATGGGTATAGAGTTGTCCCTGACTTGAGGGGGTGCCAAAGAGGAGGTTGATTGAAACTGAGCACAGACTGCATCCAGGGAACGATGTGGGGACATTGGCTGGTACTCGCTGTTTGCTACCAACTGTAGGTGAATGTCCTGTAGTCTGGAAGACACAAATCTGACAGAAAAGACTGCAGGGCCCAGATATGACAAGACAAAATATCCTTAGCTCTGTTTGGATTCAGATAATTCAGTTTTCCAACTATGCAGTATCAAATCCACCTCATAGCTAGACTCAGGAATAGCCAGGTGGGTAACATTCCTTTTCAAAGGAACATAGTGGGGAAACTGAGCTAGGAGGATCCCATCTTAGACTGAAGCTAAAATTGTCCTCTCAGCTTTTCCCGATGCTGACTTCCCACTGGTATCACATTCTCTTGTGTAGCTTGTGGCATTTCTCTCAGATGGTGGATTATTGATTATCAATGGATTATTATGATCCATCAGACAACTCAAAATAAAGTCCTATGAGATTTTACCTCACACAGCAAGTTTCACTAATCACAGCTTAGCAGCTACTCTTGACCTCATCCTATGCTAATCTGTGATTGCTGGGTCACAGGGGGAAGCTTTGTTTTCTACAAGATGCCTTGGGTAAGCCTTAACATCTGTGTGCCTGTTTCCTTGCAGCTGCAAAATGAGGTTGAACCAGAAGACCTCTGAGGTCCTTTCATCTCTCTAAATCTACAATCCTCTGATCTTGATGACTGTGGCCAAAATGGGGGTCCCAGTGAGCACCTAACATTTAGGGGCAATGAGTTAGAAGTTGTCAGAGCAAATTTGGGCATGATGCAAGGAAAAATGTCCTTTGAAGGGCAAGAGGGTTCCCTATCATTGATTTGAGTGATTGTTGTTTTTCAGGCTGGACTTACTAGGGACATTGTAGAGGGGATTCCTGTTCAGATATAGGTTGGACTAGATGATGCCTGAGGTTCTTTCCAATTTAAGCATTCCATGAATTCCAAGCAGTATTATTTGCATATGAAGGCAAACAGCTGTTCCTGATCCCTCTTGAGGGTAGAATGAGGACAGGGATGATGGTGGAGTATGAGGGGGAAAGGAGAATTTGGATCAGACATCCGGAAAGACTTGTAATGATTTTGAACCATTGGGCTAGGTGACTGAGAGTGATTGTGCCATTATCTTTTTTGGGAGGGAGAAAGGAGAGAGAGGAGAGCCTCTCACCTTTCTGCACTGGAGGGGGTGGTGGTGGTATTGTCTCACCTTGAGGAAGGCGGATGAACATATGAATTCTGAAGGACCAGTCCTGTTCATGGGTGTCTCATTTTAGTGATTAAAGGCTCACACAGTCCTACTTCCCCTCCTTAGGGACCCTTGCTTCCTGTTTGTAACCAGCTACATATAGAACCAGGAAAATGATCTCAACAGTCAAGGTAGGGAAGGGGCAGGGCGGGGCTTAGACTGAGCAGACTTTCTTTACTTCCTCTCCCTGTAAGTATACAACTTGGTCTGGGGCTATCAGAGCTTGCAGCCCAAGTCAGCCATGCTGTAAGATGACTGTGATGAGAGAAAGCTTACAAGATCCAGTCTCAGGGAGTCCCAGAGAAGTGAGGTCTGTTGGGATCCCATTGGAACTATCTTGGGAGGGACCAGGGAGATGGTTTGGGGTGATCAATATCTCACTCATCCTTTTAGGGGCTGTATTGGGACTGGTATGCTTTGGTTATGGCTATGTTCCTGACCAAAGACTCTCTCTGAGAAGGAATTGCTGTACACCTGGGAGTCACCAGGTGGATTCTCTCCAGTAAGAAAGTGTTCTTAGAAGAACACTACCCCATCAACCTCCCCTGTAGAAAGCAGATGTCATGCCCAACTCCTGTACTGAGCATGATTAGTAGCTGGGTCCAGGGAGGTGTCCTTATTGAATCCAAACCCAGCTGCCTCTTTTCTCTAATCTCTTATCCTCAAGGACCATCAATCTCGAACTAGAAGGGACCTTGGAGGTCAACCTTGGATGACCCCTAGTTCAACCCTTTCATAAGACTCCTAGAGATTAAGTGACTCATCTCAAGAGACACACGGTAGCAAGTGGCTAGAAGTTCAGCCTAGATGTGTTGGCTCCATATCGATCACATTTGCTGTGCTGCCAATTCTGAGCTCCCTCCTCTCAGTTCACCTTCTGCTTAGCACCAATAAGACCTTGGACATGTCACTTAAACTTTCAACCTCAGTAGAGCACTCCAGATAAAGGAAGGGCCTTGGGCTCTCCCTTTCCAGAACTGCTCTAGCTCTCCTAGAGTGCAGCACAGAAGCCACCTAGCTTTGCATTAGTCTCTAATCCCACTACATACATGACATAAGCTCCTTCCCCTGAACAGAGGACAAGGAGAGAAGTAATGGACTGGGACTCAGGAGTCTTAGATTCCAGCTGCCATTCTTTCCTTCTCCCACTGACTTGCTGTGTGAGAATCAAGAGGACGCAGTGGAAAGAGCCTTGGGTTTCGAGTCTGGGGACCTGAGGATGAATCTGGACTC